ATCTAAACCTAACAAGAAGACCTTCAAGTATGGGCTGCAATCCAATGAACGAGTGGTGACCTGTCTGGCTGGACTCACTATGGAGTTGTGCTGACCTTCTGAGTGAACCTCCCCACCATCCTTTGCAGAAGCATGTGTCCCCCCCTGTTGCTGTGCTGGATTTTTCCTGACACCCCCAAAGCCATGGGAGGAGCTTCCTTTTGTGGCAAGGGATGGGGATCCACCATGCCCACTACCAGTGTTCCTGCCCCTGAGTTCAACTTGCCCCCTGTTGGCATGACACTGAGCGATGAACCTGGATATGTTTTGACCAGTGGCTGAACCATGTTGGCCAGACCCAAGTCTGTAAAATTGACATACCTGAAGCTGCAGCTGAGGTGGATGCACCTGCGTTGACTGTTGGTTGCTGACTCACACTCATCTCAGGAACCACCTGAGAAGTCCCTGTTGTATCTGCGGATGCAACCTCTTGAGGGGCAGGAATTCCTTGAGAAACAGAGGACCTTGCCTCTGCCCCAGCCCTACCAACTCCCTGGCTGGCCCTGACCTCCTGGGTCAACCAATATAGGTCTGCTAGTGTTGGCTGGGCAGGAGCAACCCCTATCTGCCTGGAGATGCCTGAACTCACTAAATATCAACCAGCAAAGGCTGATTGCCCACACTGACTAATTGATCACCAAAAGATCCCTGAGGGATGGGAGGGACAGGAAAAGGAGCTGGGGGGGGCTGGAGCACCCCCAGCCCTAGCAATCACTCATTCTGCCACCAGTTCCACCTCTATAGATGCCATTCTAATGGACAGCTGCTCCAACCATGCCACTATAGCATCATCCTGCTTGGCCTTTTTGTTCATATGGCTCTTCTGGGCTGTTGAAGGGGTGCCTGGCCCTTTGGTCCGAGTCTGTGGCATGATAAACATATGAGGGGACAAGCGAAGCAAAGCACTAGGATTAAAGGCTAGAAAGCAAGTGTTTGGAACAGCAATGAACAAACAAAAACTCCCCCATAGTCACACATATATGCCTCACTAACAGCATACAAGCCAAGAGGTAGAAGGCGCCTCCCCGACGCGTCAGGAGGGGCTCTTGGTCGCACCGGCCAATTAAAAGAGGCCGATGCCTGATTGGCTGGGTGGGGAGGAAGTCCCACCCCTTCCTCCTCCACCAGCCAATTGGGATGGGGATCCGCTAGGATCCCTAGCACACTGGTAGTTTCGCGTCTCGTGAGACTACCAGAGGGATTTGAGGCTATAAAGCCCCAGGCTGCCATGAAGCAGCAGCCATTTTAGTCCTAGCAGACAAGTGGTGCGCTTGTCTGCTGAAGAGGTTTGGGCCTAGATTGGCCGGACCTGTTGGAGGTGGAGCAAGGGAGCGCAGATCAGTGGCACAGTTCCCTCTGCTCCCCACAGTGTGCCGGTTGCGGCTTGGAGGCAGCGCAACCTTGTGTGGAATTTCCAGTGACTCAGGCCCTAGGCCTCAGCCACCTGGCAGCTGAGGCCGAGATGGTGTCGGACTTTGAGAGGGCTCGCCGGTGCCCAATACTGGGCGGCTCTTGCAGAGGCCCGCAGTGCTGCAGGGCCTGCGGGTGGTGGTGAGGCACCCGCTGGGGAGGCTAGTTGGAGGGGGGGCATCCACTGGGAGCCTAAAGCAGTCAGAGCCTGCATTTTTGTCACCCAAGACTGGCGGGGGGTGTTTGGAAAACTGGTGCCCATTACGCAGGCTTGAGTGGCTGGCCTTGGTGTGCAGCCCTTAGGGGAGTCTCTGTTGGGCTTCTGGCCTTATTGGCTTTTCTCCCTGGAGGGGAGGCCTTGGGCAAGGGTCAGTTGCAGGGCCTAGTTCTTAACTAGCGTGTCCAGTGCGGCCTGGCTATCTAGGCAAGGGAAGGCCTGGTGGTAGGCCTAAGGAGTTTTGGCCCTTGTTGCATTGCATTAGCCAGTGTACCCTGGCTTGGTTTCTTTGTCCCAAAGGGACTGGGCAGGCCATTGGAGCCTTAATTGGGCCCCTGCTAGGGACAGGCTTTGGTTTGGGGACCCATGCCTGGGGGTGTAACTCGCTGCACTCCCCCCTCTTTTTTCTTTGAAGGAGGAGGGAATTTTTTTCCTTTTCCTATTTCATTAATTAAACAAGAACTACAGTTCTACTTTGGATGTTAGGGTATTCTCTTTATCCCTGTTGTTTCCCTCCCCTTTAATTTTTATCTAGATGCTCTCCACCTGGCTTCCAGGATAGATGTCCTGGATTTCTTCACTGGTGTAAATATTTCTGACATATAATGCTATTCCTCCTCCTTTCCTGTTTGACTTGGAAAGGTTATACTCCTGTATTTCCACATTCCAATCATGAGACTCATCCCACCAGGTTTCAATGATGCCTATTATATCATTTTTATTTTATTTTATTTTTTTTGTGTGCTAGGAGTTCAAATTCATCTTGCTTATTCCCCATGCTCTGTGCATTAGTGTAGAGCAGGGGTAGGCAACCTTTCCCCTTTAAGGGCTGAGGGACTTCAGCTCCCAGAAGCCTCAGCCATGTTGGCCAAAAGTCCCATGTTGGCCAATAGCTCCCGGGATTCTGGGAGCTGAAGTCCCTCGGCCCTTAAAGGGGAAAGGTTGCCTACCCCTGGTGTAGAGACATCTAAGACCATATGTTCCCTTTACTTGCTGCCTGTGCATGTTTTTTTTGCCTCCCACTGTTGGGTCCTTGCACTGTTTGCCTTGTTCCCTCTATGGCAGTTTGACTGTTTTTTCCAGTCCTTTTGTCCTCCAGAACATTGTCTCCCTTCCCCAAATAACTCAGTTTAAAGCCCTTCTGATCAAATTCTTGAGACTGTTTGCAAAAACGTTTCTTCCAACTGGCATGAGATGCAGCCCATCCCTTACCAGAAGTCCGCCCTCATTGAACCACAGCCCATGTTCTAAGAATCCAAATAGTTAATAATAATAATAATAATAATTTTTATTTAATACCCCGCCCCT